GTCAAAAGTGTTTTCTGTTTTAATGATGGCTCCAGATGGAAAACACAACCACAGKATTTGATGTTTTGTGTATTTGGTTTGTTTCCCCTCATCAGACCGGCGGAGGTTCCCAGCAGAGGCAGGAACCACAGTTGGGTCACCTCCAGACGTCGGACGAAGAGGATGCCGGCTGCAGATTCGTCAATGGAAACTTTCCTCTGCGATGCTCCAGGTGAGGAAGTTCCTCAATTTAATAAATTAAGTGTCCAATAGTTAAAGTGCTTCAATTTGAGTAAAAGTTAGTTCAGGTTAAAGTTTTTTTTATTTATAAAAAAAACTTTTTTTCAACAGGATTTATGAGCAACACAAYCCTAAAGTTGTTATTTTATTGCTGAAACCTAATTATCTCCAACAAAGCCTGTTAAAATTTATCTTCCTCRATTTCACCCCTTTAAAACTTTAAAACGTTTCCAACCAGTCCCACAATCCCATGATTCACTGCTGGTCGTCTCGTTCTTGTGTCTTTGCAGGCGAGCGTTTTGCCCAGCTGGTGTTCAGATCTGAAACCTCAGCCAGTCTCTGGAGTCTGAAGGCGATCCACACCATGTGTGAGATGGAGCAGTCCAGGGTCGGCTCTGATCCCATTTCTTTTCCTTCACACATTACCTCAATGAATTTTCCACTCATCTTTCTGTTTAATCCTCTTTCTCTAGAACTGACTGTGTACATTATCTAATGTGAAATTAATTGATTTTTTTCTCTGTAAATTGGTTTAAAATCTGGGCACTAGCTCAAAAAACTTTTTCCCCCCTTTTTCCCTTGTGTGACTCAGATTCGCTCCCAGGCCAAGTTCCAGGAGCTGTGCCAGCAGTACGAGGGCGTGGAGGGCGAGGGGACGTGGAGGAGCGGCTGTTGTCCGAGCTGGTCTCTGGGGAATTACTTGGCCGTCCTCTCCAACGCCTCCTGCTGCCTCAGCCTCACCTCACAACAGGCACTGCAGCTTTACTCTTGCTTTGAAAATCAGCCACAAGCTAAATAATTTAACAGATAAACCGACTGATGTTTTAAAAGAACAGTMAAGGCAGAACTCCTTCTCAGCTGATCTCCCTCTCTGATTATCTTAATCTATAACACAAGCTGCCTATTCTTTAAGGCAGTGATCATCAACTGGTGGCTCATGGGTCAAATCTGGACAGTGAAGTAATTCCATTTAGGCATAGTTGTTTATGCTTTAAAGGCTTTAATATGTTAGTTATCTATTCTACTGAAAGCTGTTTGTGACAAGTGAAACATCTAATTACTTTAAAAAGGTTTATTACATTTTTCACTTAAGTGTTCAAACTTCTCTGCTTTAAATTGTAGTTTAGAAGTTTTTCCATTTACCTTCTTAGTTGTTTCTCTCCATTGCATAATACTGGGAGATGGTGGTCTTAACCAAGCAGCTATAATACATTTCTTCTCAATCTAAACCAGAATTCTAATCGTCTTTGTTCAGCATTTCCAAGGGAATTATTCCCAAAATGTATACCGATGGGTCCAAATGTAATTGAATGCCTAAAATATTTTTTATCTCATCCTCTTTCCAAAACTCGACCACTTTCGGACAATCCCAAAATATGAGTGAAGTCTCCCACTTCACCAGTTTCTCCAACATAACTGAGTGGTCCAACTGTATTTTGATGTGATGTTTGGTGTGTTGAAATATCACATCTGAACTTTCCAGTGAAACTCCCTTGTGCTAATTTTAGCTACCTTTTTTTTGCTAATTTAATTTTTTTTCTGCTAGTTCAGCTAAAATTCTGCTTCTTTCCACTATTCTTCTGCTTTTATCCACTTTTTTGTGCCTTTATCTGCTACTTTGTGC